ATATATTATATATTACATATTATATATTAATCATATAATATTTATATTTGATTATATATTATATTTTTATTCTTTTCTCTTCTTTTTTATATTATTTTATTTTTTATTTGAATATATTTGTTTTTGTATTTTTGTTATTTATTTTATTTCTTATTTTTTGTGTTTATTTTATTCTTATTTATCATATTTATCTTTTATATATGTTATATTTGATTTTATTAATTATATTAATTAGTATTTTATTAATATAAATATTATGTTTATTATTTTATTATTTATTTATTTTTATTATTTATTTTATCTTTTCTTATTATTCTTTTATTATTTTATGTTTATTATATTTTATTTTTTTATTTCTTTTTAAATGTATGTTTTTATTATTTTTATTTATTATATATATTCCTTTTTGAATTTATTCTTATTCTGTTATTATTTATATTTTTTATTTATTTTATTCATTCGATTGTTTAATAAGAAATATATTCATTTTTATTCTTTGTTTATTATTATTATTTATTTTTATTTATATATTAATTTGATTAATATATTTGTATTATATCATTTTTTGTATTATTATTATTTATATTTTGTATTATTATTTATTATTATTATCATTTTTATTTTTATTTATCATTTTGTATTATATTATTCATTATTTCATGAATTTAATATTTATAATGAAATCATTTATTAATCATTTCATTTTATAATGATATATTATTTAAATTATTTTGTTATATCACATTGATTATTTAATATTTAATGATATAATTTAATGATATAATATTAAGATAATAGATATAAATAAAATGATGAATATTGAAACAATCATTTAAAATCAAAAATAAATAATAAGAAATAAGAATATAATATAAAGAATAAAGAATAAAGATTTATTAAGAAAGATAATAAAAGAAATAAATAATAAATATAAATCAAATGATAATAATAAAAACAAATAATAAATAAATGATAAATAAATAAGAATAATCAAAAATATAATAATAATAAAAATTAAAATTAAATCAAATCAAAATAATCAAAACAAGAAATGAAAATAAGAATCAAATGAAAATAAATAAATAAATAAAATAAATAATAAGAATAAAGAATAATAATAAGAAAGAAAAGAAATATAAATAAACATAATAATAAATTAAAATAAAATAAGAAATGAAAAATACAATAATAATAATAAATTATAAAAATAAGAAAGAATAAAGATAATAATAATATAAAATGATAATATTAAAGAAATTATTAAAATATAAAATAAAGATAAAAGAAAACAATAAAATATAAAATAAATTCATTTTAATATAAATCATTTAAATAATTAAATAATAAAATTATTTTATAATATTGAAATATTTCATAAATATAATAAGAAAGAACAAATAAAAGAATAGAGAAAAATAAATAAAAGAATAATAAATAATAAAATAAAATAATCAATATATTAAAAAGAAAAAAAGAGAAAAAATTATATATATAAATAAAAATTATAAAAATAAAAAAGAATAAAATAAATTGCATAAATAAAATAATGATAAATAATTTACATCAATAAATTAAACATTTTTTATTGCATATTTCTAATTTCTATAATAAAAAAATACATCCATTATTTCATCATTATTTTCATCATTTATTTTCTCATTTTGAATTATTCTTTTTTATCTTCTTTCATTTTATAATCTCAACATTCTACTTTTATTCTTTTCATCTTCTTCTACTTCTTAATTTCACTTTTTCTTTCATATCCTTCTTTTTCATCATTTCTCTTCCTTTTTCTCTTATTTCCTTTTTTTCGTAGCCTTATATGTTAATCATTCAAATAATGATAATATGAATTTTATACTTTTCAGTTTATCAAAGTTATGATAAAATGATAAATGAGAGTAATGAAATAAACTTAATCATTTTATTTAATTTATTATCTAATCAAGTTATTCAAATTAAATGAAATATATTATCATTGCAATTCTTCTGTTTTGTGTTTACCATTTTAATCAGAATATTATTTCATATCTTTTAAAATCAATGAATAAATAGATAATTATCATTTCATTCTTATTACTTTATTTTTGTGATGTATGAAATGATAAAATAATATAATAAACATATTATTAAACTATTAAAATGTTATAAAAATAAAAATTAAATGAACTTAAAAATAAATAAAAGATGAAACGTAAAACAATAACAACGATAATTGATATTGAATATGATGAAATGGATATGTATTTGTATGATGGAAATGAATATGAAAGAATTGATAGAATGAAATATTTAAAAGAAGAAGAAAAGAAAATAATTGAAGAAATCATTTCCAATGATAAGAAGAATGTGAAAATTAGAAAAGAAAATATTAAAGGAGTAGAAATGATGATTAAACCAGAAAGTAAATTAACAATGATATTCAATAATATTAAGAAAGAAGTAGAAAAGAAAGGAGAAAATGAAAGAACAATCTTTTGTATTCCTAATGGAACAAGTCAAGGAAATGAAAGAAGAATAGAAAATTCAACAAAACTTGGAAGATTAAATAATGTACAAATCATACGGAAATATCATATAATTGAAAGAATACATTCAGAAGAATATAACATAGAAACACCAATTCTTATCATAGAAAATACAGAAATAACATATGGAAATATTAAAAAAGAAAACGATAAGATAAAAATAAGAATAATAAATACTATAAGAACAAACAATAGAATAGAAGAAAATAAAGAAATTAATAGAATAACAACAGAAGAAAAAGAAGAAAATGAATAATAATAAATAATAAAATTATAAAAGGAAATAAAGAAGAAAACAAAATAAACACAAAAGATGGAGATATAAAGAAATTAAAGAAGAAAAATATATTAAAACAATAATAGAAAAGATAGAAAAAGAAGAAGAATATTCAGAATATTCATCAGAAAGAGAAATGATAATAAATATCAAAAGAATAATATACAATAATAAAATCAATAAATGATTTTTCACAATTATCATAGAAAATATGATATCAGTTAATTAAAAATAATTAATTAACTTGAGTATTGTATATTTATGATTTTCATTAATATTTATTTATATTCAATTAGAATTAACCATTATTTATTTTTATTGTATTACTATTCTTTTTATTAATTTCATTATCACTTTGTTTAATTACTGAAATGACCAATAATTTATTCATTATATTTTTGTATTTAATATTTACAATACTCAGATTAAAGAGTACTTCTTTCAATTTATTTTAATTCAATGAAGTATATCACATCTTCATTTTCTATAGATTAAGAAATGTCAATATTTGAAATTGTAACATGTTTTTATATTGTGAACAAATATATTGTGAATATAATAAAAATATAAAAGTGAAAAATATAATTTAAAGAAGATTAATTGAATTTACTATTAAACAATAAGATAATCAAAATAACTGATATTCAAAAGTATTATATAGATTATAATCAGATGAAGTTGTGATTTATTATTAAAAATAAAATAAATTATTCCAGTGCCTAATATATGGTTTATTTACATCATTTTACTTTTCATCATTACAAATTAATGTTTTATTAAACATACTTAATACAATGTGAATTTTATTCATTTCATGAAAATAAAAATGATTATTACTCATTTCATTTTATCTGTTTTATAATAATTCATTTTATCACAACCATTATCAAATTGAAAGAGATGAACATCTGTTATTGAAATTAAAATTATTTAATTAATTATCATTTGAATTTGAAATATTTTTATGAATAAAGAAATTAATAAAAATGAATAAAGAGATTGTTATTTTGAAAAAGAAGGAAAAGTATTCTTGTTGAAATAAAAATGCTATTTTAATCAACAAACAAAAATAAATTTGATTTTAAATAAGAACTATTTTTAATTTATTTTTTAGATTTTTTAAAATGTTTGTCAAAAAATAACATAATATTTTTTATTCGTTAACAATGTAAGCATTACGTAGTTTTTTCTTGTTAAAGTCAAATGTCATTTACGATATATTTTTACATAAGGAATTAAAAATCAACAAATTATGTATTATTTTCAACAAAAACAAATTAACAACTTAAATAAAATAATTTTATCATAAAACTCTTATTTGTGATTATTTTTACTCAATTTCTATTTATAAAACAACAAACATCATTTCATATAAAACCGATGGTATTTAAATAAATCAAAACATCTGATTATTATCAATGAGTACAGAAGGATCAAAACAAACTAAACTACTTTTGATTGGAGAAACAGGTACTGGTAAAAGTTCATTGGGTAATTTTATTTTAAAGAAGAATGTTTTTATGGCTTGTGAGAGTCCAAACTCAGTTACAAAAAAGACTGATGAGTGTTCTGGAAAAGGTGATAGAAGTGATGTATTTGTTGTTGATACTCCTGGTCTTAATGATTCTAATAATTTTGATAATATAAATATTCAAAATATTATTGAATGTGTTAAAAAAACAGGATTACAAGGAATTGTATTGACAATGGATTTTAATAATCCTAGATTTTCTCATAGTCTTAAACATCTTGTTAAAGTTATATCTGATGTTTTCCAATTTGAAGATATTTGGAAACATGTATGTATTGTATGGACTAGATGCTATGATTGTTTCCCATCATTTATGATTGAAAACTCTAAAATTGAGAAAAAAAAATTTAAAGAAGAAATAATTAAATTTATTAAACAAACAAATAAAATAAATGAAAATATTGATATTGAAAAAGATATTCCAATGTATTACGTAGATTCACAATTACTTGATAGTGTTGATAGTACAAGATCAGAAAAAGATGATGATACAAGATCAGAAAAAGATGATAGTACAAGATCAGAAAAAGAAATAAAAAAATTAATCGAATGGGCAAAAAAATTAAAATTAATTGATAAAGAAGAAATAAATAAATCAATAAATGAATTTAAAGAGATTGAATATGAAGAAAAAGAAGAACGTGAAATAATAGAAGAAACAAAAGATACTATAACATATAAAATAACAAAATATATAAGACCTAAGAAAATAAAGTATAATGAAGAATTTATTTATGGTGAAATTACTGAAACCAGTAGTAGAACTATAACAGAAAAAAAATCTAATAAGAAACCAAAAAAGAGTAATTGGATTGTTGTAGGTGTTATAGTATTAGGCGTTGTTGTTGGTGCTGTTGTTGGTGGTGGTATTGGTGGTGGTATTGGTGCTGCTGTTGCTGCTGGTGCTGTTATTAATGTTGCTGCTGGTGCTGCTGCTGGTGTTGGTGCTATCGGTGGTGGTGTTGTTGGTGCTATCGGTGGTGGTACTATTTTTGGTTTTATTGGCAAAAAACTCCTTGGTGATGATAAAAAAAAGATAACTGATACCAAATAATTGAAAATTAATTAAACAATATAAACGATTTGTATTTTTGATTTGATTAATGGAATATAATGAAAAAAAACTTCAAAATACAATATTAAAGTTTTTATTAATTCAATTTGAGAAATAACATTATGAAAAAATAAGCAAATATTGAATAGTGATGAACTTGTTGTGCATTTGTGATTGTTTAATTTAAACAATATTTACTATATTGGTTGTGTGAATTTTTTCTTATTATCTCATTATTCATTTAAATGTAGTTATTTATCATTGACCATTCTAAATTTATTCAATATTAAATTATTTATAAATATAAAAGGGGGTATGTTTTATCATTTTAAATACGATAAATATTTGTTTTACATTAAATAAACGACAAACATCATTTATAAATAACATTTCATGAATAACATAATTCTAACATTTAAAGAAAGGATAACTAGAAAATATAAATGACTGGACAAGAAAGAAAACCAATTAAATTACTTTTAATTGGAGAAACAGGTAATGGTAAAAGTTCACTTGGTAATTTTATTTTAAAGAAGAATGTTTTTATGGTTAGTGATAGTCCAAACCCTGAAACAACAGAGGTGAATGGAGATTATGGAGGGTATGATAGAAATAATGTATTTGTTATTGACACACCCAGTCTTCAAGAATCAAGAGAATTTAATGAAAGGTTTTTGAATGATATGGTTAATTTTGTTAAAGAACAAGGAGGAATACAAGGAATTGTTATTGTTTTGAACTATAGCATAAATACAATTTCCAACAATCTGAAAATAATGATTCAGATATTAAGTAATGTTTTCCCATTTAAAGATTTTTGGGGACATGTATGTATTGTATGGAATAAGTGCTACTATTTTTTCTCACAAGACCAATTAGAAATGCAAAAGAAAAATAAAAAAAATAAATTTCTTCCAGAATTATTGAAACTTACTAAAGAACCAACAGGAACAGAAGGGAGTGTTGATGTTCAAATGTATTATGTAGATTCTCAACCAGATGAAGAAGGTAATAACATCAGGTCAGAAAATGAAATAGAAAGGTTAATAAAATGGGGCAGTAAATTAACTCCTATTAACATCGAGGTAGTTGAATATAAAATAATCACAGAAGAAAAAGAACAAACAGAGTCAATGGGAAATAATGGGAAATATATAATAACACAACTCAAACACATGAAAAGAGAAATAAGAATTTATTGTAATGGAGAAATTAGGTATGGTAATTGGAAAATTATAAAAGTTGAAAGTAATGAAATCACAACAACATCAGATATACCATTAACAGTACCAACAAGAATTGTAGTAGCAGCAACTGCAGTAATAGCAGTAGGCACAATTATATATTTTGTTGGTAAAGCTATTTCATTATGGTGAATTCTTGTTCAGCATTAAACAAGTAATATTAACGAAATCCTAATTAACTATTTTTAAAATAATGTTTTGTTTTTATTAAAATAAAGATTCGATTAATTTGTTTATTTGTATATGAAAATGAGAATAAAAAATGAATGTGTTAACAAAAGATACAATTAAAATTGGTGAATGCTTTATTCTAACCAACATCTCATTTTTTATATTCGTATTATAAATTGATTATCAATCTTTAAATAATGTTTATAGATTTTAGTACAACTTCAAATTAAATTTGTAATAAAATAAGTTAAGTTAATATGCTACTAAAATTATTCATTTGTTTTTGAATAATATTTCAACTAGTTTTAAATAAAAGGATATAATAAAGAAATTCTACAAATTTACATAATCATATACGTTAATAAAACGTAAATATAAAATGATAACACCACTTGAAATGAAAATAATATGAAAGGTGTATATTTAAATAAATAAAATATGAATGAAAACAATTAAAAACATTCTAAATATCTTTAAATAACAAACGTCATTCTACAAATACAAAATTTATTGATGATCAAATAGAGATAATATTTAAAGTTGTTTTAACTAAAAAATAAACAATGAGTATAAAAGGATTGAAACAAACTAAATTACTTTTAATTGGAGAAACAGGTGTTGGTAAAAGTTCATTAGGTAATTTTATTTTAAAGAAGAATGTTTTTAAGGGTTGTGATAGTCTAAATTCAGAAACAAAAGATGCTGTTGGATATTTTGGAGAAGGTGATAGAAGTGATATATTTGTTGTTGATACTCCTGGTCTTAATGATACTAGTGGTTTTGACAGTAAAAATATTCAAACTATTTTCAATTGTGTTAAAGCTACAGGATTACAAGGAATTGTATTAACAATGGATTATAATAATCTTAGATTTTCTACCAATCTTAAATATATTATTAAATTTATATATGATATTTTCGAATTTAAAGATATTTGGAAACATGTATGTATTGTATGGACTAAATGTTATAATGATCTCTCAGAAAGGAGAATTGAAAAAGCTAAAATTGAGAAAAATAAAATCAAAGAAGAAATAATTAAATTTATTAAACAAACAAATAAAACAAATGAAAATATTAATATTCCAATGTATTTTGTAGATTCACAACCAGAAGAAGAAGATTATAATACAAAATCAGAAGAAGATGATGATAATACAAGATCAGAAAAAGAAATAGAAAAATTACTCAAATGGGCAAGAGGATTACCATCAATTGATAAAGAAGAAATCAATAAATTAATAGGCGAATTTAAAGGCATTGAATATGAAGAAAAAGAAGAAGAAGATGAAATAATAGAAGAAACAAAAGATACTATAACATATAAAATAATAAAATATATAAGATTTAAGAAAATAAAATATAATGGAGAATTTATTTGTGGTGAACCTACTGAAATTAGTAGCAGAATTATAACAGAAAAGAAATCTAACAAAGAATCATCAGACTGTGTAGTGATGTAATTGAGACAGTGGTAACACTAATTCAGTATTTAGTTATTTGAAATAAAATACAAAAATCAAATGATTTAAATTTCATTATGGTTAATTTAAATAAAAATCAATGAAATGGATTAAGAAATAAAGTAAACATGAATAAAAGAAAGAATAAAATTCAAAAGAATAAAGAAGAATGAGATGAATAAAGAAGTAAAATAAAGAATGTAATGAAATAAACAAAGAAAAAGAAAATGAATAAATAAAAGAATGATTAAATTACTTTAATATAAAATTAAATTAAAAATGAATTAAATATAATTTATTATTTTATTAAATTATTGATGCCTTACTTATATTCTTATACCTTACTATGTTCATATCTATGATTAGTGCTTTTCTCTTCTTTAAATATCTTACATAAATATATGGTCTTTTATTGAATTTTCATTTTTATTTATTATTTCTTGATTCAAAATCATAAGTATTTTATTTTTTTCTTCTTTTTTTCATAACTCTTCTTTTCTTAGATTAATTTCTTCTTTTGTATTTCTTCGTTTGTACATATTTCTTGTTTAATCTTTAAACTACTCAGTATATATTCAATTTATTATGTTTATTCATCTGTGATTTTTTTTAGTGATTATACAATTGAGAAGGATATGATTTATTGTTATTTTATTACAAATACTATACATTGCATATTTTGATTCATGTGTTCATATTACTTTCATTATTCCGATATTTGTTACTTTTTCTTTATTTATATAATGCCTTCATTAACATTAATTTTTTTATTTTATTTGTCAATTTATCTTCAAATCATTTTAAAATTTCATTCTTATTTCTCCAGTTCTTGATATATTCTTCTTGAAATTTATCTTTTATATCTTTTATTATTTTCTTTTTGTCTTTCTTTTTTCTTCTTCCTCATTCATTTTTAATTTCTTTTTTATTTATTCTTTTACAAAATGATTTATACAATCTGTTCTATATTCTTTTCTTTTTTTCATTTACTTTTATCATACTTCCTATTTTATCACATCTTTTCATTGTGAAATACATATTTTTCTTATTATTTTATTATTCATACTTTACACTCTTTAATCAGTCTCCATATTATTTTGATTTATATATAATCTATTGGTACACATTCCTGTACATATTATATTTCTTTTAATCATTTTCATATTATTTTATCTACTTCATTTAATTTCATAATTGTTCATTTAACAACAGAATCATATTAAATTTGGGTATTATTTCTGTATTTATTCTATTAATATAATTCTTTTATTATCATTTCTTTTATTTATTCTAATAATTCTTTTATATTGTTAATTGTTTTCTCTATACATCCTAATTCATCATTTCTTGTAATTTGATAAACTCTTAAATATTTATATATATGTTTTTTTATCTACTAATGGTATAGTATTCATGATATATGGGATACTCATATTTCTTTAGCACTCAACATTTATTTATGTTTATTTTAATATTGATTCAATTGTATCATTTATTTTTTGATGTATTATTTCAATTCATTTTTTTATTTCATTAGTTATTTTAAGGTCATTAATATATAATACATATAA